TTTCTTGTTTTTTAATACCCGTTTCAAAAATGAAAATCCAATGACCAAAAGATAGACTGACCGTGGATTTAGTGCCATGAAGAAACTCTGTTTTATCACTGTTTAATTTAAGGAAATTAGACGTGAACCAGGATTTAATTTCAGCTAGGCAGAAGGTGAGGGAGGAAGGAGGAAGTGAAAAATTAGGTGCAGTGAGTGTCGTCAGCAAAACAAATGAAGTGGGTATTAAATTTTTGGAAGATGTTGCCAAAGGGGGAGAGTGTAGATGATCAAAAGAAGGGGCCCCAGGACAGAGCTTTGGGGCACACCTGAAGTCAAAGTGGGAGGAGTGGGATCTGAATGATTTAAGTTGGATGAACTATGTGCAGTCAGAGAGATAAATTTACAAATAATCACAACTATGAATGTTTTCCTTCATGTCTGTGCAGACAGTTTTCTCCACAGAGTAAAGGGCATTCAGCTCAGGCCATGGAGCTGACCACTCGGATCACCATTGACTCCAACTGGTCAGCAGCTCAGATGGAGAACCGCCTGGCGCTGCTTTTCCACAAACATTTCAAAGAGAAAACAGGACGAAGGTTTTCTTTCACATACCTGCAGGTTGGTGCAGTTCTGACCTCCTGATGTTTTAAATACTGTCTCAGAATTTAGAGCCTGATGTTTAATTTCTGATGCTTTGTGTTGTTTCAGAGTCTACCAGGCTCCAGAGTCCTGTTCGTTCCAAACACCCCTGAGGAGGGCTGGACTGGGGAGCAGGTCCTCAAGATCTGTGGTCATGGTGCTCTGTATATCCTCAGTCATCACGGCTCCCTACAGGTAAATATCTGATTTAAAAAAAAAAACCTAAACATCCTGCACTCATGGATGGTTTATGTGAGCATAAATCCTAAAATATAATTTCTGTAATTTAGATTTTGCTAACATTTTTTCATGCATCTTGCTTATGTTTGTTTTCTCTTTTAATCTTTTATATAATTATTGTTTCTCCTCTTTTTGACCGCTAAGTTGGCTTAAATG